TAATAAAAAAAAAACAACCAGGTAACCTTACTCCTGGCATCACTACTATCATGACCTGTGACATAGAAAAATCGGCTAGAACACATATGAATGAAGTGATCACAGACCGACCTGGAAGTTCACGCTCTTTAGTTATAAAAACATACAACATAGCACATTTTCATTCCCCTACTCTCCAGGCATGTTGAACATGTATAAAGCTCCAATTTGTTTTATAGTTGCCTCTGTTTCCTTTGAACATAAAAGACTTGGTCTTTGTTTTTCAGTAGTATTATAATATCCTTTTCCCTTTGCTTTGTTTGTTATGTAAATTGAAAAAAGCTAAGCAGGATATGAAGTATAACCACATTTTCCTAACTTCCTCTGCCCTCAAGAAAAAACACAGACAACTCCTAAAGCTCACAAATAAAATATAAATTGGAATTTGGTGGTTTGAAAGAAAAATGGATTCCTCCTTTAGTATACCAGCAGTAAACTACTCTACTTTTTCTGCCTGAATTTACTGTCAGCTGCATAAGATGACAGTTACAGACTCGGGGGGATGTTCAGAGGACAATACAAGGCTATCACAGTCCATTAGCTCCCATTTTCACAAGTCACCTTTTGACTGCCTAAGTATTTGGATGGCCTTCTGTTTAACAGCAAATACCTCTTATGCATCTATGTATAGAAAAAATGAGAACATAATGGCCTGGAGTAGCTGCTATATTGAAAACAAACAAGCATGTTCATATGAAGGACGATAAGCAAGCATGTAACGACGAGCAAACCCAAATTTTATTTCCACTTCCAACATCAACATCCTTTTTGTCCTTCAGTAACGTACATGGTTTAGTATCTCCAAGATGCTGGTGGGGGAACCAAGTTACTACTTTTTACCAATCCCATAAAAACATGCCAGCACTCCATAACAACAAAGACTGGTATCTCCAGATTCATAGTGTTCTTATACCACTTTCTACCCCACCCCCAGCTCCATTTGATGATACCAGTGTCCCACAGTTACGACATGACAATCTTACTGAGCAACGTGAAGAACCTCTTAACAAATGTGAACACTTCAGCATTCTGCTATCTTGGGGAGAGCTAGGAGAGCTATAATGGCCTGGGTAAAATACTCTGGTAACATCTGGCACTAATTAAGTGGAGGAAAGAACTCTTATCAGCAGCTTTTTTCCTTGCTCTTGGAATCTTCTTGCTTAGAAGAGCAGTGAGTTGTTTTACATTTTGTACAGCACTGAGCTGTGGTAAAATACGCCCCCCCCCCCCCCCCGATACTTCTCACTTATAAGCCTACAAACTCTTTCAACAAGTGACACCAAAGCAACCAGAAGTAACATTTGTAGAATTTTACATTTCACACCAAAAAAATAATCCTTACTTACACCAAAATAAAAATATTAATCTGATTTACTGCCAGCTTTCACGTTATGTGCCATTTTTGCAGAGGTAACATTTGGCTCTCAGACCACTACATAATATACTGAAATACATTTTGGTCTACATCTCTCTCCCTTCAGGACATTAACAGGGCCATTAGAACAAGCAGTTCCACTATCACAGTAGTGCTTCTGTGGATCATTCACCCCTGGCTGTTAATACAGGGCTTAATAACAGCAAGTGTTAAATCTTTTCCAGGAAATTGGATTGCTTCTAAACATCTCTAAACTTGCTGTGGTAGCAATCAGAATTATCATTACTTCATTACAGCACTGCATTGAGAGTACAGAAAGTAAAATTCTGAAAAAGAACGTACAGCTTCTAGAAGCCATATCCACTTTATAAGACTGAAACATTTAAAATAATCATGTATATTTCATCCATTCTAAACTTTCAGTTGCACTAACAGAAGACTGCAAGGACTTAGCTTGAAAAATGTTATTTTATACTCAGAAGATAATCTGAATCTTCAAAACTGTACCTAGATTAAGAGCACAAATCAAGGCCGGAAGGCACTTAAGATTAGACTAAGTTTGTACATGCCAAAGAGAAATTTCCAAATACAAAATATAACCTAAACTGACTGTTAACAGCAACAGACACAAAATCAGAAGAATCCTCAGTTTTCCTATTAGAACATAGCAAATGGTAACAAGATCGATTCCAATCTAACAAAGCACTTTAACTTGATAATAAGACCCACTTCTGATACAAGACAGTTATTAGAGTTCAGTGTACATAGAGAAGGATACACAGGCATAGATCAAAAAATCCATGCTCCAAAATCACTGAGATCAAGGCTTCAAAGTCTCAGTGCAACGCAACAGCCTCTACACTACCCCTCGGTTACCCTGTGAAGTGAATGAAGCTACGCCTTCCACTGCTTAACTGAAGCTTAAGAACACACAGTGAAACCTACACTAGGTTTTCCTGTGGATACTTTAATCATGACACGAAAATACGTAAAGCTTTAACAGTCAACAGTAAAAATGCACTTTACACGTCATAAATTGAAAATATGACACACATTAAAAATAGAATCAGAATTATTTATTTTGGTAGATTAAAAGTAATGACATATTGAGAAGTGTTGAACTGTTTCTTCAGACTGATTGAGTGTGAAATGCTTTGGGGTTTTTTCCTCTCAAGTTTTTGAAAACTTAAACATAACAATTATATATGGCTATACATAAACTCGGGAAAGGATAATTCTGTCAATTTTATTTTATAAAGCTGTTTAGAAAATGCACTCAAAATGCATTTGCTGTTCCTTGTTACTCTAGCAATGACACATTCTGGAAATACATACAAGAATTTCTGATACAACAACAATTAGTTTCCTGGTTCAGGGTAAGCGATAAAACTTGTAAAGACAGCTAACAGGGACTAACCAGGTCTCATTCTTAATCAAGACTTCGGTGCTTGCCCAGCTGCAGATGCCGCGTTGCTTTAGCTGCACATATATAACTAAAGGGATATTGCCACAGCACTGGCAGACCATAAACAGTTTATATCCCATAGAGGAAAGGGAGTAATCTGCAAGTGTATTCACAGTACAGAGAATAGCAAGGTGCATAAATTTCTTGAGCTGTAATCAAACAACCTCTACTGGTGAAATTTTGCACAGAGCATGCTCTAGAATAAAATTAGGAACAATTCACTAACTGTATGTGAATGCTTTTTGTAAAGAGTAAGAATTATTTAGCTTTTTAAAAGAAAAACAATTAGAGGAGACATTTAGCATACACTGAAAATGATCTACACCCTCGCACTATCCTCCATAGGCTCAAGTGTTCCCCAGCATCCACAGATCAGAACATAGCGTCCATGCTCCCTATTCCTGTCATCTGTTTAATGGAATGCACACATCACACTCCAAACAGGGGCAAGGACAAAAACGAATCTTGCCGGGATAGCTCTTAGCTTCATGAGACCAAAAGAAAATAATTGCATGGCATAAAAATTCACTTATAAGGGTATCATTTCAGATCAGGCCACTCTCCTCCCGCCAAAAAAAAAACAACACCACACTAGTCATTTACTTAGATGTAACTGACAAAAAGAGATGAAGAACCAGAGCAGCAGATTAATAAATAAATAACATGTCTGTGCCTCTAGAATTACATGGAATGTTCCCACTTAGGAAAACACAAAGTGTTTAAAAAATAATAATTTTTAAAAGATAGCGATAAGCTAGAAAGAGACCTATTACCCAGATGCTACTGGGTAATACTGGGTATACTACTCATACTGCTAACTGATGAAGTCGGGGCCACGGCAGCTGGTGCTGTGGGAATGAGGGAAAGCTATCGACTACTCCACGGAGACCCAGGACATGTGGCTAATTGAGGCAATATTTCAGGATAAAACCAGCACTTGATTATTGTTTATACACATCATAAGCAGGGCCTCTGGGCAATGTCAAATTTCAGCTCCTAATTGCGGCTGTGTAAACACTCGAAGCCCCGGTGTAAGGTGTCAAGCACTTCCACTTATAACTGAGCCAAGAGACAATGAGGTCACATCAGAAATGATAAAAGTAATACTAAAAAGAGGAAGACACCACCAGCTCACGCCAGAACCGCGCACACTGCCCCAAGTGCCAGCCGCTGACAGAACACGCTTCCTAGGAACAAGAGGGGAGGCGGAGGAGGGGGGGTGTACGGCCGAAGTCGCGCCAGCACCCGCTCTCCCGGGGGCTACGCCGCGCTCCGCCGGACAGCCCAGCCGCCGAAACGGCACCAAGGCCGGGGGCAGGGCCTGGTGGGGGGGTGCTGACCGCCCTACCCCCGTCAGCTCGGGGCCAACTGCCGCCGGCAGCCCCCGTCCTCCCCCCGAGGGCAGGTGCGGAGAGGAGGCAGCTGCCGCGACGGTCTGATCGCGGCCACAGCAGAGGGCTCCCCGTCTTGGGTCGAGTCGACAGGGGCCTTAACACGGCGGGGACGGGAGGCAGGGGTGAGGAGGACCCCGGAGAACACCCATACCCCATCCCCCCCTCACCCCCAGGCACGCCTGCCAGCACGGCGCTGCCCCTTTAAGTGTCACGTAGCCGCCCCCCCCTCCCGTCGCCCCCTCTCTCTCCTCCTCCTCTTCCTTCTCCCTTTCCTTCCCCCTCTCCGCGGCAGCGGCTACCGCCGCGTCCTCGAGCACCGACTCGCGCTCCCTCACGCCCGGCGCCTTTCCCCTTCTCTCCCCTCCCTTCCCCGCCCCTCCGCGCGCACCCGCGCGCGCCCCCGCCAGAGACAACGGTTACACGGCGGTCGTTCCAGAATCTTCCTCGCTCCCTCCCTCCCCCCGCTCTCACTTTCCCCTCCTCCCCCCCCCCCCCCTTCCCCGCCACCGCCCCTAACCCCCCTCTGGGGCGACTTGCGGAGTGCGGGTCCCCCCCTCCCCACTGTTCCGCTTTCTCTTCCTCAACCTTCCCCCCCCCCCTTCCCCTCCCCGCCGGTGTGGTGGTACGGCTGGGCCCGTGCGGCGGTAGTGGCGGCGGCGGCGGGCGCGCCGTGATGGATGGCTGGCTGGCTGGCTGGCTGGGAGCGGGTTTGAGTGACAGCGCTTACCTTGGGTGCCAATCTTCGTCACACTGACAAGCGGCTGCAGCAATCGGGACCCGCACCGCCGCGACACGCGTCACCGCGCACACACGCACACGGCCAATCGCCGGGCGCGCCGCGCGACACGACACCACGCCGCGCATCACGCCTCATCAATATTCACCGCGAGGGGCGGGGCGCGCGGGAGGCGTAGGAAGGTGGTGCGCGGTAGCCCCGCCCCGCGGCGGGGCGGGGCTACCGCGCACCACCTCCCTACGCCTCCCGCCTCACGGTCATGAATATGGATTAAGGGGGCGGGCAAATAGCTTGACCACGCCCCTCTCCGCCTCTTAGATGGGGACGGTGAAATCGGCTCTTCACTGGGGGGAAAGAGGGAGATACCAAGTTGTAGGCAGAGGGCTCAGTCGTGAGGCGTGTAGCTGTGCCTTTGATCATTTCAGGGGGACCCTGCCGAGCCCTGGAGCCTCGGAGAAGGTAAGGCAGGGGTCTCGCTGGAGGCGTCCCCGAAGGTTGTAGAAGCCTGAAACTATGTGGGGGAACATCTTCACCCGGTGTGGGGTGAAACTGGCTGGTGAAACATGGTAAGCGCTTGCCATGCTGTGACTCCCAGAGCTGCTCTCACCTTCCTCCGAGCCCATGTCTTGCAGTGCTCCAGGATCCTGCCCCGAGGTCCTGCCATGATCTGAATTAAAACTGCTGGGTACAGATGTCTTTCACTGAAAGTCCCATTTCCCCACCTGGAAGAAACCAGCACTCTTCCCTCATGTTTTACCACCCTGTTTCCCTAAACTGTTCCCAAAAAGCAAGACTATCAGGGAAATGTGGTATCAGACAGATGGGTGCCTTGTGGCTTAGGCATTTTGGCGGGATATTACAAGTTTCTCACTTGTGGATTCTCTGCAGTTCAAAAGGGCTTGAATGTGCATGTTTGGGTCACATCACTGGGGTGATTCATCATCTCTACCTTGCTCCTCATTCTTAAGGCATCTCAGATCATCTTAGAAACCCCTCTCCCTCTCTCTTTGAGGGTTGATGTTCATGGAGGAAGAAGCTGATATGTACAGAGCAAATCTCATTGTAGGAAGCTCAGCTTAAAACCTAAGCAGGTTTAGTTTCAGGTTTTGTAGTCCCTCTGCAGAACAGCAGCTGGGAATATACTTGCTTATCCTGTACCCTGGTAAACAGGGAATGCCCTACTTTTTTTTCAAGGTCCATGCTACTCTTCCTGTTGCTTTAACAGCAGTAGCAAGCTACCTAGTTGGTTTTACATAGTACTTTCCTGGGTCAGGACGCTTAAAGAAGAGCTGGCTGATAGTCTGGCAATAGAAACAGCTCCTCCCACAAAGCCAAGTCTGCCTCCAGTCCTCTGAGCGTAACTGCTGTGTCAAGACCCTGCTCTGCCAACCCAGTCGCTCTCAGTCTTCAGGGATCTAGACGCTCTGCACACTGCCACCATTTGTCCACTAACAAAACAGTCACTTCATCCTCCTTCTAGACTGCTGGGAGCCTTCCTGGGAGTTTGCTTTTGAGCCATTTTTCCCCCATACAGACAGAACCACATGGACATCAGGCTTGTGAACAGAGAAATAACTTACACACCTAGCAAAGTGGGAGAGAAAATGAACTATGCTAATCCAGAGTGCTCAGATGTGTGAATCCAGTCTCAAAGTTCATGTGAATGGCTTATATAAACAAGGTAAAAAAAAAAAATAAATACAACTCTTAGTTTGTCTTACTCACAAGAGTCTCTCTGTTCTTGCACTGTGTAACACCTTTAATAGAGTTCCTATGGCCTATGGCTGGCTTCTTTTACCACAAGTTTCATCTCTCATTATCCCTGACACATTCATTAGTGACACATTCACTAAACAGTGCTTAAAATTATCTGGTTCCCATGTCCAGACCTGCCTCTTCTTCAAATTTGATTCTGTCTGCAAACCCTTTGGTGTCCTTCTGCCTTGCTTGTACTTCTTTGGAGAGGAGATCACTGATTTCTTCTGAGAAAGTACATATTAAATTCAAACTAATTCAGTTTCTGTTTAATCTCTTCTCCCAGTGATGTTCAAAGCCTTTCTTGATGCCTTTCCCAACTTGCATTTTCCTTTTTCCTCCTACTTCTCTTTGTTTTTCCTTTCCTTCCTGCCTGCCACTTTCTCTTCCCTAGCTCCCTCCCTCACGCATGACAGCAGCAGAAATTCCTCATCTGCTGTCTCCCCCTCACCCCAGTAATTGCATCTCTTGGTCTCCTTTGTAAGTAAGGTTACTCCATCCTTTACTCTCCCCAGACCCTTATGCTTTTTGTGATAACAGTAGATGTTCTGACTTCCTGAATCTTAAAGCATGTGACTGCCAAGCAGCATAATTAAGAAAGCCTGGTTCCCCACACATTTGTGGCTCACAGTTTATTAACTTTAGGGTCTAAGGTGTAAGTTTTAACTGAAATACCTTCCAAAGTTGTGGTGTACATAAGGTCTCTCTTTAGTTAATAGATGCTGTTGCCTAAAAGCTGGTGTTGCAGACTTTCCATTGTTCAGGGAGTACATGATACGTCCTCTCTGTTTGACAACTTATTTTCATGAAAGCTACAGGACCTAAGTTATTCTGACAGCTTTAATCCTGAATGTAGTATCTTGAAATGTTATTAAATGACATGGATACACCCCCAAATATACCTGTACCTACATGACATGACCATATAAACCTTGTTCCCATAAGAAAGTAACCTGAAAATCAAGCTTGATCTGACTGGTGTCTTCCAGCTGCCCATCTCTAAACTCACTGAGTGCACTGTTCCCAGCCACTGTTGAGAGGTCCGTGCTTTTTGTTTGATCTTCAGTTTCCTCTGATGCAGCCACTGCAGGCTTGAAAGCTAAGCTTAATTTTTTAAAATATCACAGCTAAAATGACTCCAGGAGATGAAGTTTTAAGATAAAGCACTAAAAATTACAAGGTTTCTGAGAGGAGCCTGTAACATTTGGAAAAGAGCTGGGAGGAGAGGAGCAGCAAGGGAAAAGAATGAAGAAATAACTGAGATAAGCGATTCAAAGGCAAACAAACAAAAACAAAAAGGGAAAGGATAGGTACCGTTTTCTTTCTTTGTTTCTAGTTGTCCAAGCAAACTGTGCTGTCCCTCATCAGTTCTGCAAAAGGACAAGCATCCAAAATGCAGGACAGAAGATAGCAATCATAAAGAAATTCTCTATGCTACACATTTCATAAGGATTATTACACAACTGATGTAGGTTTATGCTATGAACTCCCATTGGTATGGGTGTACTCACTGAAATGCAATGGTGAGAGAGCTGCCTTTTTTTTTACCCTAAAAAACCAAAAGCTACATGCCAGGGTGAATGAAATGCCATTTTTGTCTTTTGTAATAGCAAATTACAAGTACGTAAACCTGAGGTTCTGTAATATTTAGGCTTGTAACTGCAAATAGCGGAATACTCAAATTCTCAAACTTCTGTTACTTACTTAACATTGTATGTATTAAATAGGCTTATTAAATATAGCTCGTTACTCAAAGTATGCACAGATATGTTTGTAGGGTCAGGACCATACTTGGTTACTGAGAACAGTCTCAGATGTATAAGAGCATTCCCCACAGCTGGACCAAATATTTGCAAACACTGAACTATGAAGGTCCCGTCTCACCAAATGAGAAGAGCACTCCCAAATCTATTCTCTGAAGCACACTTTCAGTTGCAGTTCAGTGCTAATAGGATTGTGTAAATTTATTGGAAGGCAAAACTGTATCCACATACAGTTGCTAGACAAATTAGGTTTACTCTGACATCCTTTAGTATTTTCCAAGTTCTAAATAGTACAACTGTGTGCATAATATAACATTCACATGCATTTAACCTATTCACAAAAAGGCTCTTGATTGTGTACTTTGCAACTCTTTCATAATTAAGCTCGCAAAGGAAACATTTACATAGTGATGAAAGGATGGGCTTCCGTGAGGGTGGCAGTAATCTGTGCTCATAACTTATTGAATAAGACTGTGATTGCAGTGATAAGACTGGAATAATTTGAACAGAGCAGGGTTTTCCCCAAATTCCAATAAAAATCAGGTTAAGTTTTTAAGTGCTGATCTCTAACAACGGGAGGCCTCTGCAGCAAACCAGTTACTTCTTTCATTACTCACAGTGAAAAAAGTATGTAACAAGACAAGTCAACGACTTAGGTGTCCTCTGGCTGGCTGGAGAGCATTCCAGAAAGCAACCTCTCTGTGCCCTGTTTGTAGGCACAGCGCATTCACATCTGCAGCCACAAATTTATGTGGTATAGGAGGAGCCTGGGAAGAATGTGTGACTTATTTTATAATGGATATGGCTTTTAAGATTTTAAAGCTGAAATTTATGAGTTAACTCAGTCTAAATAAATGTCAGGCTTTGCTTGAACTAGATTATGGAGATCTGTGTAACTCAGCTGGCAACACTCCCTCTGGAGAAATTAAGAGCCTGTGTCCCACAGGAGGACTTGGGCTCAGACCAAGAGCTGGCACTGCAGTGCAGTACTACTGCAAGGAGTTTCTATGTGGGGATCAAGATGCTATCCTTTTGATGAGCTGTTATTGTCCTATGTTTTTCCACCTTACAGTAGAAAAAACAACCTACTTAGAGCTTCCTTCAAAAATGGAAAAATTATAAATGTCTTATTCAAGATTTCTCCTCATGTTAAATCAAATTTGAATTTCCAGAGCTGTACATTAGCTGAATCACTGGCTGCATACTACTCACTCCATCTGTTTATATGCTTGAGTCATTGCATTACCAGTATCTTAACACGTTACTTGGAAAGAATTTTGGGCGATCTGGAGGATAAAACCCCAAAGCTCTATAAGATAATGTTCCCTTGTATGTCCTGCAGTACCTTATTCTACATTGCTCCCTTTCTGCTATCAGAGATGTTAATTTGAACAAATTGCTATTTTAGGAAAAAGAGCTTATCATAAAAGTACAGCGTCTACTTAAAAGCCGAAAATTGAGCCGTGATGTAGAAATCCACTGTCACCTCCCTACATGCAATGCCTTGCCCTGGAAACTGTGTGAGGAGTCCCATGGTGATGGAACAAACATCTTTCACAACCCAGCATACCCACTTGATACTTGTTCCACTTGAGATGGTATAAACAGATTACCTTCTGAGGGCAAACTGTCTC